AACATACAAAAGAAGTAGAGGAAAATGACAATAGTAAGGATTAGGAAAGAAAAAAAGCAGCAGTTCCCTGTTGTAGATCAGGCACAGTTATGAGTGTGACATGAATCAGCCAATTTACAATTCTACTGTGCTTGAACGAGAAATGTCCCCCCTTTGGGAATGGCCTAGAGACACTACAGTCAGTGGCATCGCCCCGGGAGGTCCACACTGGCCAACTCCAGAAAATAGTCTTGAAAAAATATTCTTATCAAGGAAAGTTAAAAAACATAGAGGGTTAACTGCATAAAATATATACATGTTGTCAGTATTTGATGAGGCAGCAATGAAAACCATACATAAATGTATGCCTTTTTCTTCAGAGTACATGCAGGAACGGCAACTGAGAATTACAAGTCTGTCGATGAAAATCTTATCTCAAGGCTCAAGGCAAGGTGTGACAAACTGTACTTTGTCTTTTCGTTTTCTTTTTATTGAATATATATAGGCCAATCATATTTTAAGCATCTGGCATCACAATTATTATCACACTGCCATACAGGGCTCAGTGGGGAACAACATCCTAGCAGACAGATAGAAACCTCTGTAAAAACAAGAATCTAAGAACTTCCCGACCCGAGCATCAAACTCTAATCTTCTACATTAATTGCCTAATTGTTACACCACAGATAGTAATGGTGTGGCTCAAGTCTGTCCCATCAAGTCGTAATGGGCTAAAAATAGCCTTTTTTCTGCTAACCCAAGCTAGGCTTTTACTGATTACTGAACATTTTTATGACCCAAAACAGCATTAAACACGTGGTGTTCAGCATTCCCATCACCTGCCATTAATTTTTTGTCTCATGAGTCATTACAAGACTGGTGAGGCTCTTGGAAGAGCCAGATATTTATACATAGCTTCCAGACTGATTATTACCACCAAACTCCAGCATAAAAGCCTCAGCAAACCTTTTCCTATCTGTATGTAAACCTTTGCTTATTTCAAAACAACAGAAACACCAACTCTCACTCTCAGCAAAACTGTAACCACTTCATGAGATAAATTTAAAGTATGTTAATCTTAATTTGGCAAAGGCTGTTGTCTTTTTCAGGATTCATTTATTGTTTAAAAAAGACTGTTCATCTCATAAAACCAAAAGGACTTTCGGTAATTTCTTTACTATAAATATACATACAAATCTATACCTAGATTTCTGAATAACAATGGTGAGGATATTTTGTATTATCAATCTCTGTTTTATTGCCTTAAAAAATGTAGTCTAGTTTAGAGGAGTACATGTTTTACGTCATCCTTTTTCCAAACTCACACTTATTCAACTCACTGGTATTTTTGCATAAGCATGAGCCGGTACTACGCCCTGCCTATGTGGCTTTAGATACTGTTCTGTCTTCAAGCAGTCCAGAAATCCGGGGAACAAGTTCTCGTACTGGCTCGGGTCTGCGATTGCCTCGGACAGTTTTTGACTCTCCTTTGCCGCCTGAGCCTTCCATAAACTGACCACCCTGTGGTGGTGGGAACAAAAAGAATACAGTTGGCCAAAGGTGGAGACAATGGCCGACTAGGACAGAAGCACGTATGTGTCACGGTGAGGTGAAATCTGGCACTTGTCAAAAAAATGTAAACCGAGAAATCGTAATTTTTCCGCAGGTTTTTCAATTTATTTCAAATTTGTGTTTTTTGGTTCAGCACCTTTTATATCTATTGAAAAACACATTTCTGTGAAGACTTCAATGAAAAAAGTTCATAAAATGCTCAAAAAATGTAAATTATTTGTTTCCAAGGTCTCTCAAGCTAGGTAAGACACCAGACTTTGACAGCCATTTATTCGCTAACTTTATCTCTGAAATCAGGTAACCTCCTTCAATTGCAAATATCTCGACCTCTATTCAAGATAGATGGGTAATTTTTTTACCACAAGCAAGATAAATAAACAAGCTTTATAATGATACCAATAACTCCATATGCCCCAAAATTGACGAGCGCCTGATTCTATCGTATCATGACACATATATGGAGAGCTCTTGTTGGAGGCCAATACTCCGACATGGGGTGGGAAAGGCTGATGATGATGATGTGTTGGTAGAAGGTACAAAAAGTTTTAGCATAAATTTCACGTAAAGGTAGGTATTCAGTGATGCAAGTTGCTGAGAAATAGAAATCAGAGAGTCAGAAAAGTATGACAAGATTACAGAAAGTTTAATTAAAACATTCCAGTATAAAGTTTTGCAGTTGGAGAACTCTTTATTTCCTTATAAACACATATGTCATATAATATAACAGGGAACACAAAAGACATACATACGTGCATACACACACACACACTACACACACACGTGTACACACATGCGGACACACACGCACACACATAAATGCACACGCACACACGCATGCATGCTCGCATGCACACATACACGCACATACACACACACACACGCATGCGCACATGCACACAGACACACACAGACGCACACACATGCGCACACATACACACGCGCATGCACACATGCATGCATGCAGGCACACACACACACACACACAGACACACACACAGACACACACACACACCTATACACACACAGCACACGCACACAACCATGATAAGAACATTTTGTCAAGAGTACATTCTGAGGAGAAGGCACTGATCAAGCAAAAAGGCTGGAAGTGAAAAGGCAATTTTCCAGTGACATGAGGGAGTATTTATTGAGAAATGACACCACCTTCAAAGGGCTAACCTTGAAGTTTGAGACGGCAAGTATGTTCGAGCGAAGAAAGCTGCTTCTGGTAATCTGTTTGTTTTGATGAGAACCTCCAGGCATTCTTCACACCTGTGAAATACCATACAGATATGTTTTTATTTATATATATATATATATATATATATATATATATATATATATATATATATATATATATATATATATATATATATATATATATATATATGCACGCTGACAAAATGAGATACTTCTCGCAATCCAAGAATGGAGATATGGACCAAAAATCAACACTGTGGACAGGTTTATTGATTTTCAATTGATGGCATTCTCTTCAAGTTTTAACATGTCTTTTATTATTTCATGCTTATAAACTGTGCAAACTCCACCCATAAATTTGACATACCAATTTCCATCGTGCTAAAATCCGAGAAGTAATTCATTTTGTCAGCACGCCTCACATATTAAACAAAAAATGAAGGTAAACCAACAGACCTGACAGTCACAATGGCACCCTCCAAGTACCGACACGAGGTAATTCAACAAATTAATTGTTTACCGTACTGAAAATCAGAACAACAAAATACTGACAAGAACAGAAATGAAGTTCACCACCCATGGTTTTTCTTTACTTTTTTTTTCCCTCTCTGAGTCTGGCGCAATGTACACGAAAGGAAACAAGAAAAATTGTTTTTGTCTTTTTTAAAAGGCTAGAGCAGTAAGTAAAATTCTGTTTGGAGAGAAGGAAAAAATAGTGTTTGTTTTACGCCCCCACCAACACAATTTAGATCATTTAGTACTCTTAGTAGTTAGACTTCTGAGAGATCATTCTGGTACAATGTACTCTGAACATGGGAATTTCCTATCGTGAACGAGTAGCTACTGCACTTTCAGGACAATAAACTGTATCTCTTGTGCCTTGATCTTGTTCTCCAGTGCCTGAACTTTTATAGTAGTAGACTACGGTCTTTTCGATAGGAAAGAAAAATGGACACAGAAGCAGACAAAACAGTTGATATCATGCTGGACTATGACGTGAGTTACTCTGGTTTAAATTCCCAACAGGATCTTTTTGGAAACTAGGTTTTGTCATATGAGAGAGAGAAGGTTGTTAAATCTGAAGGTGTCCCCATCTTGAATAATCTTAAAATATATCGAATGTTAAACCCATCCGTGGGTGGTTGGTGGGTGCTCTGGTGCAGTTTCATCCTTTTTTCCTATCAAACACCTGTGGTCCTAATCTCTCCTCCATTTTTTGTGTATTTGTTACTCTCTTGTAACACCTATAATCTTCGGCACATATATAATCTTATTGTGTTGCAAGTGCTGTAAAACTCTCACTAAAACTACACCCATCCCACATCATATCAACAATAAAATGCCAACAGCACAAGTGTTTTAAATGAAGGGATCTTATTTGGTAATTATCTCCTTATATTTGGTTCGTTTTTTATCACCTCAGAATTATAATACACAAGTCCTTAAACCTTGAATAGCTGATGCAAATATGTTAAAACTGATACCAAAATTAAAAAAAAATTTTTTTTTAATGAAAAGGGCCCAAATGTGATTAATCCTCTCCACATACCTCCCGAGGGTGAAGTTTGCAAGAAAAGATATGTTGTGCTGGTCAGCGTTCTCCGCAGTCTGCACAAGCTTCGTCATGGCCTCACGGTTCCCCGAGGCGGAAGCCAGGAGCAAGAGGCCGCTCAAGTCCTGGGCGCGGTGCAGACATTCTTGCAGTAAGCCAAACTCCGAGTGCTTCAGAGCCAGCTCCGACAGAGTCTTCCACTTCTCCGGCGACGAGTTGGACTTTGCTATACTGTACGCCGAGCGGAGATCTCCGAGTCGTATGGACAGCTCAAACTTGTGGTCAGTGTCTTGGGTCACAGCCAAAGCTTGAGAAAGGAAACCCTGGGAAAAAAACCAAAAGAAAAGTATCGTCAGGCACGTATAACACAAACATGTCAAGGATTGACAAACATCCAAACAACGACACATTCACAATTTAGGTAAACAAATAGATTAATAATGGAAGAGATATTAGTCGGAGAATGGGTAATTGTACAAGTTATCCATGATTTCGAATCTTCTGTGTTCTTGCTATCTGTTCCTGACTGTGATTTCATTCCACTGATCTGAGTATCTCGCAAAATCTAGATGTTTGACAACCCAGATTGAAAGTAGAGGACAAGTAAACTGTTAGTGATATCATAAACCATTTTTTCCAAGAAATTAAAACAACAGTAGTCTAACTGGAAGGAAAGAACTGATAAAAACAACCAACAAAACTTTGCTCCCAATGTTAATGTTACAATTCTATGGAATTTTTGTGTTTTATTCTACGTACAGTCTGGCATGCACATTGTGAGATTGGTGGGAAGCAAAGACCGTACAGTACTCAACAAAACATTGGACAACAAAGACCATACTCAACAAAACATTGGACAACAAAGACCGTACTCAACAAAACATTGGACAACAAAGACAGTACTCAACAAAACATTGGACAACAAAGACAGTACTCAACAAAACATTGGACAACAAAGACAGTACTCAACAAAACATTGGACAACAAAGACAGTACTCAACAAAACATTGAACAACAAAGACCGTACTCACTCAACAAAACATTGGACAACAAAGACCGTACTCAACAAAACATTGGACAACAAAGACCGCACTCAACAAAACACTGGACTCATCAAAAGGAGAAAGAGTCCCCATTAAAAATATTTTCTTAAAATCAACAAGATGCCTCATATGCCCTTAAAATCAACAAAACATCTCATACTGAGTGCTTACTGTATGTTAACCACACATAATCCAATTAACTCTTTCACTACTGGGGGTATTTCCTCATCTGGCCCGGACCCTATCTATGACCTTATTTCTGATTCTGCCTATCATCGGAAAAAATAAACATTTTTTTAGTTCAATATTCAATATTATTAGCCACATATATATGAAAATAGAGGGGAAATAACTACCTATCTCAACAGGTTGTTAAAAACGATCATTCTTCGACCTGATATTTCAGATTCGATTATTACAAAAGTAGGAGTGGTTTTTAAGCAGGAAGTGGCGAGCTGTGAAACAAGCCCAGTGGTCCAGCATAGGGGGCAACACGAGCCGTGAAAACGGCTCCCGGTAGTGAAAGAGAAATTCTCACTTGGTTCTCCAAAAATTCGGCCACCCTCGTTCTCTGTTCCCTGGGTACTGAGGTCAAAATTTTATCTGCCAAGTCAAAATCCCTCCTCAAGACCGCGGTCTGGTACTCTAAAATGGAAGCAGATAAGGAGTAGCTGATGATGTTGAGTTCCTTGTCTCCCAAGTACAGCCGGTTGTCCTTCAAGATGTATCCAAGAATGTACATTTCCCTGAAGGCAGAAACAACACAACATTTGCTAATAAGACACGAATGAAGTAAATGAAACAAATATGTGAGGCATCATGGCTAAATCTGGCGCTCGTCAAAATAATGAAATCGATGATACAGGCATTTCTCAGCAAGTTTAGTAAATTTTATCAAATTTTGCTTTTCGGCTCAACACCTTTTATGATTAATTTATAAACATATTTCTAGGCGCATTTTACAGAAAAACGTTGATTAAAGACATTTAAGCTGTAAATTTTCAATTTCCAAGGACTCTCAAGCTATGGAAGCTATCAAACTTTGGCTGCCATTTTATCGCTAATTTTACCTCAGGAATCAGGCCACCCCTTCTCCTTCAATCACAAATATCTTGATTTCTATTTCAGATAGATTTATGTGGAAAGCTGTGAAACACCACTCGTGGTCCAATGTTGGGAGTAACATCTCTCTCTCTCTCTCTCTCTCTCTCTCTCTCTCTCTCTCTCTCTCTCTCTTCTGGCGCTGTGGCTTCATAAATGGTCAGCGATGCCGACAGCACGCAGGAACTCAAGACTTGGGAGTAACACGAACCTTGAAACACAGCTCACGGTAGTCAAAATAATAGTTAAAGTAAAAAATCTTGACTCACCTGTCTAAATGAGCGATAGTGACAATCTGCCCTCCCACGCAGTAGTTTAGCCTGTTCACATTGTTGGTGTAGATGAAACAATCTCCCAGCCACAGACCACAGCGAACTTTCTCTTCAATCTCAAACATGACCTTTAGAACAAAAAATGGGGAAATCAGAGACAAATCAATTTGATGATATATACTGCAAAGCGCATAGAGCTTTTGCTGTGGAGTAGGAGTTTGTGCTACACAAATGCTATCTACGATCTATTATTATCATTTTCAATTGACCTGGCTCATAAAACTCATGGCACATCTGTGAAATAGAATGTGTTAGCAGGACAAAATGACAACATAAAAAAAAGAAAGATTGTGAAAGGTGCAAGCCAAAAAATAATATAACATTAAAAAGTCATGGACTTTCCTGTTGGTAGGAAGCACTTGAAGACTACAGCCGTGGGGAACAACTAGTCAGATTCACATTGTTTATCAGTCCAATTGCTCATTCCAGCAACATATCAGCCCATAAAATTATTCATATTCACCTAAACACACACGTTAACAAGCACACACACACACACACACACACACACACGTGCACACATACTCGTGCACACACACACACACACACACACACACACACACACACACACACACACACACACACACACACACACACACACACACACACACACACACACACACACACATACACACACACAAAGACATAAGCATGTGGGTGCACACTTAGTTATCCTTATACTTACTTATACATCATCAAATCAAAAGTGGGAAATTTATCCAATTAATAGCAATATAATTGACAGAAAGAACCCTAGTAGCTCAAGAACGTTGTCTGAGATCTCTAAAACAGAAAAGGCCACGAAAACTTGTACTAGTCATGGAGAAGACACCAGCGTATGTGGTGTAGAGGTTAAGACCTTTGCTGTCCCAAGTCTGATTCCCAAGGGGGGGAGGAAACTTTTGTAGAGTATCACAGTCCTTTATGCTGGATTGTATCCCTCTCATCCTGGGTTGGCCCCGACAGGTAGGGTCTAAGCCCGCCTTTTAAATGATTTAAATTGAGTCAATCATCATCATCATCATCATCATCATCATCATCATCATCATCATCCAGTGCCAGATCTGCGACAGACATCGGCCATCATGGTTCTCCATTCATTCCTTTGCTTGGATGCTCTTAAAAAAGCTACATTTCCCTGATCTTTCCCTGTCACCCACTTGTTCAGATTCCCCAAATTAAGTCGATAGAAGTATAAAAACAACTACATTTAACAAAACAAATTTTAAATTACCATCCCCCCCAAAAAAGAAAAAAGTAGGCAACACTCACCACAAACGACTCCTTTGCTTGACCCCCTGTCTCAGTCTCTGCCTCCTCCCCACCACCACCGCCATTCCCCTCAGTGCCCGAGCTGTACTTGAGGATGTGGAAGGAATCTTCTGAGCAGACGCACACAAGATCTCCAGACTCACTCCAGTGGACCTGTTGTTGAGTAGTCATTTTCAAAAAATCCTTTAATCATAAATATTTATGAGGTGTGCTGACAAAATGAGTTACTTCTCGCAATCAACAAATGGAGATATTGGCCACAAATCGACACAAGGGTCAAATTTGTAGATATTCTATTGATGCCACATTCTTTAAGTATACCATATTATGCTTTAATATTTTATACTTATAAATTATAAAAACTTCACCTGTAAGCACAATGTGTCCATTGCCATAGTACTAGAATCCAAGAAGTAACTCATTTTGTAAGCACCCTTTACATTTTATGCCTAATCATATAGATTTATTGAGAATCAGAACTGGAAACATCCTCAGGCTGTATGAAGATCTCCTAACTTTAGTGAAAAGACGCAAGGTGAAGTGGTATGGGAACTTCACACGATCATCTAAACTGGCTAAAACTTTTGCAAAGGGAACAGCACAAGGAGGGAGACAAAGAGGCAGACTGCGAATGTTATGGGAAGACAACAGCAAAGAGTGGACTGGCTGTGACAGGAATATTTTACAACGTAAAGCTGAGAACCGAGAATAGTGGACGAAGCAGGTTGCAAAATCTGCAGTGGTGCCCTCATGGTCAGCCAGACAGCAGGATAGGTGAAGGTGAAGGTGAAGGTGAAGGTGAAGGTGGAGGTGATTTTACACCCCCGTAGACACAAAATGTGAGGCAACATGGTGGAATCAGGCTCTCGTCAATTTTTGGGCATATTGAGTTATTGGTATCACCTTAAAGATTGTTCATTTGTCTTGCTTTCAATGAAAAATTTACCCATCCATCTTCAATAGAAGTGGAGATATTTTGGATTGAAAGAGGTGAGGGTCACCTGGTTTAAGAGGTAAAATTAGCGAGAAAATGGCTGCCAAACCTCGGTAAATTCCAAAGCTGGAGAGTCCATGGAAACAGTAAATTTATATTTTTGTGCCTTTAATCAACGTTTTCGGTGAAATCCTCAAAGGAACGTGTTTGTAATTGGACATAAAAGGTGTTGAGTCAAAAAACAAAAATTTGATAAAAATTCCTTAGCAGGGAGAAAACTGCTGTTTTCTTCGATGTAATTATTTTGACGAGAGCCTGATTCCACCACGCTGCCTCACATTTAGACTATTTAGGAGGTGCTTAACTTGACCCTGCTAGCATCCCAGCACCATAATATAATATAGTATTAATACATTTAATTTGTCTCTAATTTCAAAAGATCAAACTATCTATTTTTATATTTCAAAACTTATCATGACTTGTAAAAAAAAAAAAATTTTTAAATAAGCACAGAAATAATTGTTTCCCACTAACTGACAGTTTAAAAAAATAGCTTACTTGTGTTGCAGTTATCTCTAGGTCTCGGACTAATTCTGTAGTTTCCCAGTCATAAAACGACAGATTGTTTTTGGATCTGACACCAAGTAACTGCCCACCATGAATGCCTAGGTTTTGGGAAAAAAAGAACAAAAAAACAAAACAAAACAACTTTACAAAGTAGGCAACCAGTGCTCCTGAAATGAGAAAAAATAGGTCGTATAGGGGCAGAAATCATCTAAGTAAATAAAAGTCATGTTTCAAAAGAGAGCAACAAATAAAAGCAACCACAATAGTGCGAAACTTGGAAGACAACAAAGACAGTGCTGAATAAAGTCCAGACTTTCATCAACAGATGTATGAGGAGTATCCTAAGAATTAAGTGGCAGGATAGAATAAGAAATGAAGAGCTGTGGGAAAGGAAAGGACAAAAAGGATATAGAAGTAGAAATAGGACTGAGAAAGTGGCAATGGATGGGACACACCTTAAGAAAGCCCAGCGGAAACATCACAAGACAGTCACTGCAATGGAACCCACAGGGAGCACGAGGCAGGGGTAGGCCACGGGAAACATGGAGGAGATGTGTGGAAAGGGACATGAAAGAGATGAAGCTCACTTGGAACGAGCTAGGAAGGATGGCCCAGGACAGAGAGAAATGGAAGGAGCTTGTATGTGGCCTATACCCTGTCAGGGGTGAAAGGCATTGATGACAATAGTGACTCACCGTATATTCCTTCACGAATAGATATTGTGCGAATATTAAAAGATATCAGTAACTCACCCCACCCCCACCCCACCCCCACCCCCGCTTTCAGCCCACCCTTTTTCACCACTCAAATACTCATTTTATTCAATACTTTTCATTTGAGGAGTCCATGGGAGAAACGGGCACAGTCACAAGCTGGAAATTGTGAGGGTGTCAATTTTAAAAGCTTGTGGACTCATAACTTCATATTTGTTTGACTGGTGATTTATTAAGTGTTGTTGAATGGGAAATCGAAAAACAATAATCAACCAACAGTTATGAGTCAACAAACATTCAAAATTGATACCCTAGGGTTGAGTGAGCTAAAACAAAGCTCTCCAAAACAACTTATACTCAGAAATCCTAGTTAGAGATTTGAACCAGGACCATTTGCTCCTTAGTCCAGCACAATACACATTCAACTAACTGCTAGCCCTATGTGGTACTGCACTACCTTAAATTAGAATTAGGCCTAGAAAGTTCTATCTGACATTTTTGGCTGTGTTGAGATATGATGACTATGAGGTCAGAAACCAAATGTTGCGATATGCTCTATCAAAATAGTAATATTATTCAGAGTCGTTATTAAGATATTCAAAGAATTGCATTCGATAAATTTTTGAAATGATGTGGACCTCAAAGTTTTTTAACGTCAAATTTCTCAAAACTAGGTTCTGAGCAGATAGAATTTTGTAATTCTAGGGTGGCGGCTATGGATGTGAGACTTGGAATGCATCCCAGACGAGCATAAAGAGGATCCAGGTTTTCTTAAACAAGTGTCTGAGGAAGCTACTGAAGATCAAATGGACAGACAGGATCACCAACGAGGAAATATTAAGAAGAAAGAGACAGAGCCCAGTCAGAGAAGAGGTGGGAAGAAGATGTTGGCGATGGATTGGACACACTTTCAGGAAGTCAAGCAGCAGCATAACAAGGAAAGTGTTAGATTGGAACCCACAGGGTAAAAGATCAAGGAGAAGACCACGTGGAACCTGGAGAAAAGTCACGGAAATGGATGTACAGAAAAGTGGGAAGACGGTGAGTGACATCAGGCGATTAGCCCAGGATAGGGAAAGTTGGAAAGTGTTTGTTTGTGGCCTATACCCTGATCCAGGGTGAGAAAGGAAATGATGATGATGATGAGGATGGCGACTGGCTCACGACAGTACAAAGTACACGGCATGTAAAGTTACCCTCTGCTCCTGATCCCACTTTGAACGATTTTTGCATCTTGAAATTTTTGAACACTTTGACTGTTGAGCTGTCGTCTCTGATGGCAAAAGTGGAAGAGTCTTGGCCCCACACAAACTCGTGGGCATTTCCGTAGGCTTTGTTCCTGAGGGCCATGGCTGTGTAGATGATGTACTCTCCATCCCCACACACGACCACAAACCTGGGGTGAGGGGGGGGGGGGAAGAAAGGGCACAATAATGTCTGTTTAAGAAAGAGGAAGTGACAGGAGAAGTTATACTTTACTTTCACTTTTATTTTTTCATCCTCTGTTGCCGTTAAGCGTCGAGGGGAGATGGGGTTTTCTATGGTAGGCCAGCTCCGCAACTCTTTCAGTTGTGATATTATGTGGAGAAGTTATAGACCATGATAACCACCGAAGGTAGCGAGCTTGGCAAAGAGGGAAAAGTGAAGGAAATAATGTCGCTGTAGCAAGCAATCCACTGTCAAGTCAAAATTTTGAGAATCTTCTATTTTTACACTCTCTCAAAGCTCTACCAAAGACGCACCTTGCAACATCATTGAAATTTTGTTCAATGCCATGGTCAAGGCTGACAATTTTCTTGCTTTTCATGATTCCTGATAGGAACAACACAACAAAAAAACAAGTTTTTTGCCTCTGGTATAAAAAGTACCCTAACAGACTTAAGCAGATGGCTTGTGACACCGATGATATAACATGCGTGCACAATACTCTGAGACCAAACACCACAGCAATAACAGTGACCAAATAAAAAAAAAGGGCAACCTCATCCGAAGAAGAAGGGAGGTAACTTGAACTGACCTCCCATTTGGGTTGTGCGAGATACTCTGAGGGTAGACCTCACAACTTCCCAAATCCTTGACAGCCAGCTCGAGGCGTTCTCCGTCTATCACCGACTGCTCGCCCAAACTCTTCACATTGGCCTGCTGGATCATGGAGTTTTTGCTCCAGATGATCTTCCCAGAGGAGTCCATAGACACTGCTGGCTCCTCGTTTCCGATCTGAACGAGACAAACACAAGCCAATGTTAGTTTTAGGAAAAGTTTTGTTAAAGTAATTATTTTATATCTGTCCCCTTGGTTTTATGCACCCCGCATAATTTAGCAAAATTTGATCATTTTTTGCATAATTTCTGATTATTATTTTCCTTCATCATTCTTTGTTAAAATTAACAGAATGGATTAATTTCACATTTTTGGGCTCATTTGCATAATTTCAGAATTTTTTTTGCATAAAACAACGGGGATAATTATATGGCACTTGCAACACAATCAGGTCATTATCATAAGTGTCCAAGATTAGAGGTGTTACTAGAGAGTAACATTATATAAAGAAGAGAAGGAGGAGAGATATGGAGGATAGATGTTTGATAGGAAAGAAGGAGCAAACCAAACCACACCAGAGCACCCACCAACCACCCACAGTAAGAGTTTTACAACACTTGCGAAACAAACAGGTCATATAAGCGCTGGAGATTGGAGTAACCTACATAGAGATTGGAGTAACCTACATAGAGATTGGAGTAACCTACATAGAGATTGGAGTAACCTACATAGAGATTGGAGTAACCTACATAGAGATTGGAGTAACCTACATAGAGATTGGAGTAACCTACATAGAGATTGGAGTAACCTACATAGAGATTGGAGTAACCTACATAGAGATTGGAGTAACCTACATAGAGATTGGAGTAACCTACATAGTAAAGACGGAGTACAGATAAAGGCAATATTTCAATAATCAGCACCGTGGTGTAGTATAGGAAAGGAAGTTTATGGGTATAAGTTGGTGCACATGTGTGTGTGTGTGTGTGTGTGTGTGTGTGTGTGTGTGTGTGTGTGTGTGTGTGTGTGTGCACGCATGTGTGTGTGTGTGTGTGTGTGCACGCATGTGTGTGTGTGTGTGTGTGTGCACGCATGTGTGTGTATGTTCACAAAAGTGAGCTGGTGTTCGTGGGTATGCTTGACATAACAATACATAATTTGTGAATGTAGGATCATTGACGTATGTGCATTTGTTTGCATGTGTGTGTGTGTGTGTGTGTGTGTTTTATGTGTGTGTGTGTGCACGCGCGTGTGTGTTCATATTTGTATGTGTGCGTGTGTGTGTTTGTGCATGTGTGTGCGTGTCATGTGTGTGGTTGTCTGTGTGTGCATGTCTGTGAGCGCATGTCTGTGAGTAAGCCTATATTTGTGAATATCTACAAAATATCTTCTATGTATAAAATAATATATATGAAATTATTTGCTTTCTTCAGCCAACATAGCTGAACACGTGCGATGTGCCAACCCACCTTCAGAAGTACCGTGCCCTCGTCAAAACCCAGGGCCACACTGTTTGACCCTCGCTGACACCCGATGGTCCAGAGCCTCTCCATGCCATAGTTCAAACTTTTCTCCTGTTTGTACGTGTTGGCGTGCCATATTCGTAGTGAACCTGAGGATGAGAGGGAGACAACAAAAGCTCATATGTGTCACAACATGGTGGAATCAGGCGTTCGTAAGATTAGGGGCATATGGGGTCATTGGTAGCATCTTAAAGCCAGTTCATTTGCCTTGCTTTGAGTGAAAAACGTATCTCTCTATGTTGAATAGAAGTCAAAATATTTGCGATTGAAGGAGGTGGGGATCACCTGGTTTCAGAGATAAAATTAGAGAGAAAATGGCCGCCAAAAATGTGTTATTTCCATAGATTGAGAGTCCGTGGGAACTGAAAATTTACATTCTTTGTGCCTTTAATCTACGTTTTTCAGTAAAATCAACACAGAAATGAGTTAAGAGGTACGAAAACTGTCGAGTCAAAAAAAAATAAATTCGATAAGAATTCCCAAACCTGCGGAAAAATGCCGGTTCCTTCACTTTGATTCTTTTGACCAGCGCCTGTTTTCACCTCACTGCCTCACATATAACTTCTTAATACAGTCATTCTTAGACAGCTGATTCTCCTGGACAGTTGTCACGACAATATGTGAGGCGTGCCGTTTTAGGTGGCCATAGTACTGTATTTTGCTCAGCAGGGTTTGTTTTGTGTGTAGAATCGGACACACCTCTTTGTTTGTCTTTTTTGATTTCCAACTTATTTTGGCCCTTCTACGGTAGCACCACATCTCAAACACATTTATTTTTGTTTTCTTCCTTCCTAGTCAAAGTCCAGGTCTCTGTGTCATGTAGGAACATGGGGAAGATGCAGCAAAAACAAGATAATTTATGACAATACTAGGGTATTTATTCATAAGAAAAATGGGAGACTTACCATCAGCACCACCGGAGAGGATGATGGGAAGAAACGGGTGGAAGGCGACGCACAGCACATCTTTGCTGTGACCATGCAACACCTGGACGCAGTCTTTTGTCTGCGGATGAGATGAGATAAAATAGGATAATACAAAATGAGACAAGATAAGGTAACAATCTTACAGAGAGAAATTTGCTGCTGCATAGTAAATTACACTCACATGTCAGCGCAAAGTTGGTCTCTCTCTCTCTCTCTCTCTCTCTCTCT